TTACACAAAGTAGACATAAAATATACTTTAAGTAAGGGTAACATAAGTATGTTTTCTGTAAATACACTAAAAAGTCACTAAAAGTATGCTTGTGTTTAGTATATCCCTTAAAAGTGTAAATAAAAATATATTTATTAACAGTATTTCTACTATACTTTTTAGAAATATACTAATAGTATGCTTGTGTTTAGCATATTCCTTAAAACCGTAACTAAGCATATACTTATTACCAAAGTATTTCTAGTATACTTTTTATAAATACATTAAAAGTATGCTTCTGTTTAGCATATTTCTTAGAAGTATAACTAAGCATATATTTAATACGAAAGTACTTCTAGTATACTTTTTAGAAATATATTAAAATGCAATTCAATATATTTTTATTACACTTCAAATAAGCATGTTGGGAATACAAATGTATTATAAACATACTACTTGAATTTCAAGTATATTTTTAATACATTTAATACTACGTCTTTTTCACCTGGGGATGCTTTAGCAGTCCAAACTCCAATGTGTGTTACACCTTCATTCGTTTAATTACAAACAGCAGTTAGGGGTGGGCGATATGACCAAAATTTTATTTCACGATAACAATATATATCTCGATATAGCTATTTTTATTTTTGTAATTAAAAATAAGAAAAAGAAGCCAATTATAAATACAATATAACAATTAAATATTAAACTTTAACTAGTACTTTCACTTCAAATAAACTTTATTCAGCTACACTAGGCTAGGTTTCTTTGACATGTAGTAAGAAATATTACAGAAATTGAATGAAGTGTATAAATAAAACACTGCAATCTTCACTGTATCAATCAAACATGAACTGATTCTTATTAAAGATACAGAAGTGATTCAGTCGAGTGCAGTGAGTGATTCACATTAATGACAGACAGCAGCAGGTAAATTAGGCTGCTGTCCCTTTAAGAGGGACTGCACGGATCCAATATACTGAAACACACCCGACTGTTTCCGTTTATTTAACACATAACCGACTGTGTTTACGTGAATACTGCACACGATGGGCATTCTGACATAATTGTATGCTTGCGTATCAAGCACGAAAGAGATCTGTTTTAGCGATCGCATGCTGTCTGAGAGGAGCTGTGGAAAACACGATATAGCAAAATCTCTAACGATAGACTTTATTTTGCAGTGACGATCAGTGTTGGGGGTAATGCATTACAAGTAGGGTTGGGTACCGAACTCGGTACTTTTAAGGGTACAGACCGAATTGCGTTGGTACTACAGAGTACCGATTCACGTTAAATCAATCGGTGCCAAATTTCGGTACCTGAGAACGCATCTGGGCGCATAGCATATGCTACAGAGAGAGAAAGAGAGACCCTGTGACGTGATGTCACCCCTGCAACTCGTTCAAACAACACACAGGGCAAGCCGAAATGTTCTGAAGTGTGGTTACATTTCTAGGGCCATATGGTTTCTGCGAAAACGCGGACGGAATCGTGGAGTCCATTCAAAAAAACATAATTTACTCTATAGCGCGGAATGCCACGGAATTCGTCAATTTTGGACGAATAAATCAAAAGTAGGTCTGCCACTTAATTCGAATCGCGATATGAACTAGTGTCTGTGAATATTAAAATGCAAAAAGACGGTTTAAATATGAAAAGGCTTTTATATTTGCCAAAAATATCACTTTTTTATTTTAAAAACAAACAAGCAAGCCCTGTCCAGATTTTAAAAGTAACGCAAAAGTAACGTAACACATTACTTTCCATAAAAAGTAACTAAGTAACATAATTCGTTACTTTTTTTAATGGAGTAACGCAATATTGTAATGCATTACTTTTAAAAGTAACTTTTCCCAACACTGGTGATGATATATTCATTATATAATTCACAACTATAAAACACATTCATACCCACTGTTTTATTATTCTTGAGGAGAATTGACCGTTAAGAAACTGTAATGATAATTAAGCAAAGCTACTGGAATGAAACTGTAGCCATCATTAATATTCCTAGTACTGTTCATATTTGTTCAAATTTTAACAGTAGCTTTTTCAACATCTACCCACTAAAAAAAATAACACTAATAATATAATATAATCAATGCAAACTGCACAATTCTTTCAATCATTTTAACTCCAATTGATTCCTTGTTATTCTAAACAAACCTTTGGATTTCTTCAGCGACTCCTCGTCTTTCTTCTTTTGTTTCTTTCTCTTTCTTCTCCTTCTGCTGTCATCATCTTCATCAGAGGACACATCCTCCACTTCATCCTGAGGGAACACACCTAACGATGGCACAGAAATCAACCGTAGGTGACAGAAACAGGAAGCGTTTTATTAAAAGCGGTCGCTAGTAAGAGAGCTCACCTTCACTCAGGTCTCGGAAACTGCATCCAACACAGAAAAAAAACCATACAATTAAATCTGAGCACTTTTAATTATCTTCACGAGTCTCTATTCAAACAAAACTTACATTTTCACAAACGTGTAAATCTTGGATCTGTTGAAGCTCTGTATATTCGAGTGACTGGCCAATGCAAAAAGCCGGTCAGCTATTGCACCATAGTCGAACTGAACAAGAAAAATATCATTAAATATATAATCATTATTCTGCACACACACATAGAGAAACAAGCAGATAGCGTTTGTCTCTGTCTCTCTAAACACGGCATCACCAAACACAGACGGCTCAGTTCAGAGCCAGAATCTCTGATGATGCCTGTTCTTTAATGCATCATACTGTATTTATAAGAATATATAAATTTACAAGAATATTGCATTTAAAAAACATTTGAGCATCAAAAAAGAAAGTTGTGTATTAAACACACCTGAAGAACAGGTCCACGTGTCGTCTGAAAACAACTGCTCATCTTCATCACAGTCCTGCTCACAATCTGACAAACCAACAAAACAAAACATTTCATTCATTAAGAATTAATTCAAATAATTTTGTGCTTCTCTTTTCTTCCATACCCACACAACTGGTTTCAAATAAGTCCATGTGCAAAGTGTTAAAACTCAAAGCTAAACAAGCCACCCTTAAGAAAGATCTACGCAACATCTACAGCGTAAACAAGCTGAAATTCAGACGCATATCGCACAGAACTGGAGAGGTCAATGGGACAAACGTTCTAGAGGCTTTTTCTGTTCTCTGCATTCAGACTTCAGTTACACAGCTCATTGTAAACTGTCTGTAGTACACTATGCCAAACACATTTATACTAGGACTGTCAAAATTAACGTGCCAATTGTGCGATTAATTTATTTTCAGTTTAGCACGTTAAAAATAATTCATGCATCATTGGTTTTTTTCCTGGCATCTTTTAGCTAGTGTTACAGTAGACTATATGCACATGCTATCAAGCGCGATAAGACACAAAAGAGAAGTGAATTCGGTTCTGGTGAAGCAGCTCTCTGAACACAGGCATCGACACACACAAACGTTCACACTGCGAGCCTTAGTGCTCAATTCCGATTTTTTCTCAGATCCGATTTTTTTGTGTAGCTGTTCACATTGTTGTTTTAAATGTGGCCAATATCAGATTTCCAGTGTGAACAGATCATGGTTCTGAACTGACCCGCATGCTCAAAAGAACGATACGAAAAGGGTTTCCAGGTTTACACAACAAAATCCGCCCAATTGCTTCTCAAAACTAGTCCAAAACTAGCACAACCATGTTCAGGGAGGTAAACATTGCGTTAGTGGGGTCGCGTCGACCCACGAAGCTGAAAAACATCCCGCGGCAACAGAGGAAAAGTAGCCTAATTTCACGGGGAAACTGTGGATTTGGCAACACTTGCGCAGCGCGCGGAAATAAACACGGAGGACAAAGTAAGCGATTATGCGTTTATTTATAGTGTGATCTGCTGCTGAATCCGGCGAAATTATGTTGTATGTAGTGTATGTGAAGAGTGTTTTAAGTTCACTTCAATTAAAAGTTGTTATATTTTTCAAAGCCTATTAAATGTTAAAAATTATTTAATCTATAATGTAATGTTGAATGCGTATAATGGCTAAAGTTGAGGGGAAAATGCATTTAATAGAGACATCAGCAGAAGTGTGGTATCAGTGATACTGATCTTCATTAATAATGGGCTACTAAGTAAAAAGATGCTATTAAACATAAAGTACACCATCTTGATGTTGTTTCTACATTAATTTGGAGATTCAATGTGAAATTATAACAATATAAATATATCAATATGTGATTAATCACGATTAATTCGAGAAAAATATGCGATTAGTTAATGTTTTTTAATCGACTGATAGCACTGATTTACACATGTGAATCATTTATTTTCCTCCTTCACTTTTAATCCCTATATTTGCGTGCTTTAATATGGTAGAAAGTAGAAAAGCGCTGTAGAACAGATGTATTTTTCATTCTCATGTTTTTTGAATTTGGTAAATGACAATAAATATCAGTCAGTTGTTCAAAAATCAGTCAGTCATCACTGGTCTGTGTGTTTCAGTATTTCTCACCACAGTTTGCGCTCTTGTTAATGAAGGTGAGGTTTATCAGTACGGCACATTTCACACACGCCGACAATTCAGTTTGATTTCACATTCAGTTAGGCTCTGCTTATAATAATGCTGTTCATAATGAATGCCGCTATCATTTATTTATTTATACTCGTATTGTGGCGTGTACCGTGAGTTTGGTGTGAGTGTTTTGAGAGGGATTTCGTCTTCAGCTTCTTCACTAGAGTCCAGTTCTGCGTTCTGACGGATCTCTCTCTGCAGATCCTCGATGGCGTAAGGAACTTGATCAACGATGGTGTTAAAGATGTTGCTGCCGATGGCCTTCAGCAGGACCCGACTGAAGAGCAGACAGGAAAAACACAGGACCTGATATAGATATTCTCAGAATTAACTTAATCTTAATTACTGCTTCAGTATAGTTAGTAAGGCAGTTGTTCAGTTTAGTGTGAATGTCATACTCTTTGATTTTGGCCACAGTCTTGAAGAAAGGCTCAATAAAGGTCTGGTTCTGCTCTGCTGTCAGCTGGAAGAGAGAAACGTGAGATCAGCCACATTCACAAACATGAGAGCAACAGAAAGTATTTCAAGCTCTGCACTACACTGGAGTTAATGAGATAAATCTGTGAATCACAATAATGAGAAGCAGGACTAGAACTACGATGATTAGACAAATCTGTTTCGGCTATCTCTAGTCTGCTGTGACAGAGCTCTGTTTCTGCCATCAACGCTTCCTCTTTACTACTAGTTACAGCAGCAAATAAACATGAATGAAGAGCAGAAGAAACAGAGCAACTCGCTGAAATCAATCAGGAATCATGCAATCCATCCATCCGTGTTTCAGCCGCAGAAAAATGTCAATAAAACAGCCTGTGATCAATAATGACACACATTTCACGATTCGATTCGATTTCTATTCACAAGCTTGAGATTCGATTTGATACAATATGGATTATTTTGGATATATTTCAGGTACAGTCCACAGTCTCAAGGAAAAAAAGTCTCTCAGCTGGTACTACATTATGATATTGGGGATTAAAATGAACTGATTTGTGTACAAACACTTAGCCTAAATTACACAAAATGTTTTTATAATAACAAAGCTAACTTTACAATTACATAAGTATATTTATACTCCAATTCGTTTTTTAAAATATAAATATTTAAATTTGATTTAAATGTTGGATTTATTCAAACATAAATTAAATATTGAAGAACAGTAAAAGTTATAATGATACATATAGTTATATGATACATATATTTACTAAAATGCTCCTCTGTATATAGTTCACTTTTCTAGCTGACTAATGAGATTATGGTCACTGAATGTGTTTTTCGGAGGTAAATGTGACGTTACGTGACACATTGTTTACAAGCTGTTATATTGACGTCTTTTTGCCATTACATGAGACAGGAGACAGATTTCGGTAAGCTGTAGTCTTTCTTTTAACACCTTCGGATGTTCATTCATGTTTATTTCGTGCTGTAACTGCTATTAAAGCAGAGGAGATGATCAGTTCACATCGATCTGTCACTCCACATTATACAGCGCCAAAGCGGCATTTAATATCTGAATATTGTAATAAAGTGGACAGAATTTGAAAGCTGAGACTGTGTTTCATATCAAAAGTAACAAGTCACAAAGCTTATTGCGATTTATTGGATGGGAGGAGCTACAATGTTCCGTTCATTATCTGACAGGCGAGACTAATCTATTAGTGGGATTTAAGAATCGATATAATTTCGTAAAAATGAGAATCGATTTAAATCGAGAAATCAATATTTTTTAACCAGCCTGTCACGTTACATTCAACTCAATGCAAAAATAACTCTAGAAAGAAGCATTTTGATTTATGCACTATATTACATATTCATTATATTTTTATTTAGTGATGTGTTAATTATTTAATGTATTGAACTAATCATACATAAATTCTTATAGCAGACAGGCAGCATTTCAGTGATTTTTCTTCAATGAACTGGAGCAGAAACATTTATATCATCAGAAAGCAGAGATCTCCATTTCTTGAGTTTAAAGCTGACAAAGTGATTCAGAGTGATGGAGCAGCCCACATTTCTGATCGAATGCACTGGGAAGCTCAGATGTGAACAAACCTCATGCTTTCTTGCGAGTTATTAAGCTTCCATTTATCTCATATTTATTAAGCTCAATGTATGTGCTGATCCATGCTTATAGGTGAATAAACGCCTACATTAAATCATATGTTCATCATACACAGTAGGGCTGTGCAATTAATCGCATGTGATTGTCATGCGCATTTCGTCAGTAAAGCCGGTTCTGTGATTAGTAGTAATTCTCCATCACCTGCTTTCAGATGGAGCGGCATTCATTACACAGAGCCGTAGTTCACTGACAAGCTAGGTGATATCGCGTTCATAATTGAATGCGATTCATCTGTGATTATGAATGCGATATTGCCTAATTTTCAGTGAACTACGGCTCTGTGTAGTAAATGCCGCTCCATCTGAAAGCAGGTCATGGTGATTTTTACACAGCTTCTTCTGACTTGGTGAAATGAAGAGGACATTTATTACAATTATAAATGGATATATTAAATTAAAGATGTGAAAACTAATTTGAATATACTAGATGCTAATGATTTCGCATTAAGCTGTTTGGAGCTTAAAGGATATATTTGAATTCTTAAAGCTTTTTTAAATGGATATATCTCTTAAGTTAATTTTGCACTCAGACTCAACACAAAACACAAAACTAACACAATCACAAAGAGCTTCAACAGCTGTTTACACGCAGCCAAATAATCGGTTTATAATGGGAAAAGCCTTCATGTAAACACCTGTCTGTCAGATTTGAGCACCATCTGAACGAAATCTCAACACGGTGTAGACTCAAAATAATCTGATCAACAGAAAAAAATTAAGCATGTACAAGTCTGAATTCAACTATCTTCTCAACTGCATTCAAAAACACCCATGAATGTATATTTACACCTCATGTCTTACAAACTGAATATTGACTGGATTCACTCAAGTAAAAGCATTGCATTAGTTTAAGAATAGCAACAAAAATCATTCAAATCACTTGTGATGCATCAATGATTGTTGACGCCACTGTCGTGATGAAATTCACATTTTAAGCTCACCAAAGGCCCACTGTTATAAGAGAGCAAATAAAAAGGTGCGTCGTTACCTCAGCTGAGCCGATGAGAGCCAGTTCAGTCAAATAGAGGTCGAGAACGTGAAGGACGAGCCCAGCCGGAGCCGCGCTGGAGCTCTGCAGGAGCTGAGCCGTTAAGATCTGCAGAAACTCACTCACCAGCTGCAGGAGGAACAACACACTCTCATGAGCAAATCAAAACCTAATTCTTCCGGCATAAGATCAGTCGGGTGAATCATTCAGTCCTTCAGATTCACATTCACTCAAACAGCTGATTCATTCAGGAAGAAAGAAAGTGATAAATCTGCATAGAGTCGGTTACTTCACTGCAGAACAGTCTCTATTGTACAAAAGTGCTATAAAAATAAAGGTGATCTGATCTGACTAAGAGTCCGGCCTCATGTGGCTTGACCCAGAGACGCTCCTTCACTTCATGAATCACGAGGGTCCGCAGGACAAGGTCGGAAACAGTTTGCGATTCAGTTTGATTGATCCTTAGCTGCTGTTTCTCACACCATAACTTTATAAAACAAAACCAAAACAGCTACAACCCACTGAATGCCACACAACTCACACATGTCTTCTGCCGTTCACGTGTCTGCGATGAAGCAGCACTGACAAATGACACAATCTCACATGTGACAAGAAAAATTATGATGCATTTTATCTTTGGTTACAGTTATTTACGATTGCATTAATGCATCAATCATGCCTTGTAATGCACTTTATAATGCATTGTATGAACTCATGAATAATTGTAGTTATAATAATTGTTTATTCAATGTTACACCCTTAGAAAGTATAATGCATTAAAACACTTCACACACCCAGTGTCAGATGTAACAAGGAATCCGCAAATAATACAGCACATAACTTTGGTTACGGTTATTTATGAAGAGGTATAATGTATTATGATGCACATAATAAACTTTATATCGCACTATACACAAAGGCTTCAAGTCAAGTGTTCCCAAACTCTCCTGTTCATTACTACCAGAAAGCCAAAAGGTTTTCTCTAGGTCACTTTCAGGCACTTCTTTGAAAAGTTTTACATGATAAGCAAGCAGCGCTCAGGATGTCCATGTTCTTGTTCTAGAGCAGTACACATGAACTTACGGCTGTCGAGCGTCCGAAAGCTGTGGAGGAGCCCAGAGATTTTAATCGACAGTTCCTCCTACAATCCCAAAAACACAAACCGGTTATTAACAGCACAACAAGAGCTGGTTCAGTGTGTGAGAGTGTGTTTGCGTGTGTATGAGAGCATGAGAGTGTGTGCGTGTGTGTGAGTGCGTGAGAGTGTGTGCGTGTGAGTGAGTGAGAGAGAGAGAGTGTGTGTGTGAGAGAGTGTGTGTGAGTGTGAGAGAGAGTGTGTGTGTGTGTGTGTGTGTGTGTGTGAGAGAGAGAGTGTGTGTGTGTGTGAGA